CCTGGTACATAGAGATATGATGATCTAGTGATTTACGCTTACATTGACAAAAAATTTTCTTATACATTCGTACAATTAGCTGATCGTTTCGTTCGCAATCATTGGTAAACAAATTTTTAAAGGCATTGAGGTTGTAACCCCTGCACATAAAGTAAAGAAAAACACAACAATAATGGCCACAAGTCATCTATAAGAGACCCTGTAACTGAGAGGTATTCCATCGGTAAGTGGCGGAATTTCTTCTAAGACGCAGGAGAAATCGCGAGTCCCAGGGCGGCATCCCGTAGCTGTCAAAGTATGTGGCTGCTCCATTCTGATCGATGTAGAATGCGACTCAGTGCTGTCCTGGACGGTCGTGATTGTCCGTATTAGCGACTATTGCCGTCGATCTCGTCCACATCCTCGGTAGTCTGTCGGCTGGACAGATGCCTGTATATCTGGCGTTGAGATGTTGCAGCGCATGTTGAATTTCGAGCGAATTCATTTTATATAATTTCGTTTTACCTCTGGTAACGTGATTGTTATAGTCCTCGACGGTTCGACTGAATGCTCCAACTCAGTATTTGTTTCGTTTTCCTCTTCTTCAGTCGATGGCTCTTCACTCCCCGATTTGTAGGAATAGCTATTTTCACTTTCTTCCTCGTCAATTTTGGAGGACAAGCACTGAGCCACATAGACGTTGTCACGTTTCCTGATATTGATTTGGCTTTGTTCGATGTACCAGTGTTTCAATTTGTATGCGTTGCGTAATGCGCAGTGATAACGACTGTTTTCTAAATGCGTGGAATGAGCAAGCTTCTACACGTTCGCTGGATGAAAAATCACTGGACATCGGCGATATATTCTCCGGATTATATACATTTCGGGCTAGTAAATTTTGCAAGTAGCTTGCTTTTTCCTTACCCTTTGTCATGAAGTCACGAATATGACTCGTAATTTCACGCAACCGCGGATAAAAATATTTCGGATTGCTCTCCCCGTCATACCACTCGATAGCATGATAATTCTGTGAAAGCCAGTTATTTATACGTCTTGATTTTTCATTCAATTCCGCAAATGAATACTCTGGAGCTAAGATCCAATGACCGACGAATGACTCATTAATACCAATAATAGCCACCTCCTTGAGCACGTAGACATCGTTGCTATCGCGGAAACATTGTACTTCGATAATGACATCCACTCCTTCTGTATACGTAATTCTGCTTCCTCCGAAATTATACTTTTCACGCCTCGAAATCGACTGGACTCTTTTCTCAAAACTTTTACTCAGGAGGGTTATGATGTTGAAAATCTTTACATTGGAAGGGGAATGACGTCGAAAAGAAAAGTGGGGAACTCGTTTTAACCGCTATAATCTACAATGACTTGACAAGAAGAATCTATTTCCAGCACGCTTTCAAATTCAGCGTAAACTAAGCAGTTGATCGTTGTTGTGAGAGCTTTTTCGAATCGTACTTTCATTCGCAAACTACCATGTTTCACAAGGTTCCATTGAGCCGCGCAATTAGCCGATAGATCAGGAGTGAGATCGAAGGCGAAAAGAGTATAACCAGCAGGATAATCTTCTCTGGATATAGAATTAGTTTCGTTCAAAAAGTGAATACCTGTTCCCGAGAAAAGGATGTGATACGCTTCGGCGTAGAGCATCTCGTTACCAGAGAATTTTGGCTGTAACGGCCTGCTAGGGATTTGAGTTCCATCGACATACAGTGAAAAGAAATTTATTCCATAATGCTGGAAATTGAACGGATTTAAATGTCGGGCACCGTTAAATGTTTTGTTATCAAACTGACAATTTTGTCCAAGGTATTTGTCCAAGAATGACGTTGTCCAGTGTTTCTCCTACGACGCCACTATGAATCGTGAATGATTTAACTTCGACTCTCGTGAGCGGGTATTTAGCAGTAGTCCTGGTCAACATTTTTGTATGAGCGAGTAATATGCCTGGATTTATTCTAGCTCTTCTGATGAGTAGTGTAGCATCTAAAACGCGTATCCGTGACATAGTATTTCCCTCCATAAGATATAAGGAATCTTTTGAACGAACAAGCCTCATGCGTACTTCAATATCATTGATCAAAAATTTATCTTGATTAAAGACGTCGCAGTGAAGATGACCTATGAGATCCAGCGTTCAGCCTCCTTGTACAAAAGCAGCTCGCTTGTCGAGTCCGTGATTGCATGGTGTCGCTCCCGGTAGAGCGTCCATGTTCCACGCCGTATCGTTGAACCACAGGCATGAAGTCAGGTGGAAGGTTTTTACTGGTGAAGCATAATTTAATAACGCCTCTATGTAAGCGCGGTAAGTGCTTTTAACATTGTTTGGAGGAGACACGAGCTTTTGGTTGAAATATATGTACGTCGATTTGATTGAACAACGAATGCAGTATATGGTTTACTGGGCCTACTTTTGTGGCGGCGGCGGCTCCTGGTACAGTTTCCGTTTCTATTCGTATGCGTAGCGACAACATGGTGTGAGCAAGATCTATGTATTCTTCTCCATGCCCGGTTACGACGAATTCGATGGGCGCGTCGTCCGTGAGAGAAGACACGGGTTTGTAATGAATCCATTGTGAACTCTCAATGCTGATTTGTGTAGGCGGTAGGGTGAAGAGATCGAGTTCACTCTTTAAACATTCACAGGAATGTGTATGAAGAAAGGACATGCTTCGAAAGCACGTGTTTGTTGTTGTTGTTTAGGAAAAAATGTCTTACACGCTTCTTGATACGCTTCTTGATAACTCCCTGACGTTTAGCAAGGCCTCTCCCGCTTTTCTTCACTGAATGCTTCTTCGCCGACTTCTTCGCTAGCTTTTTACCCCGTTTTTTCCCCTGTATGTTTCTTCGAGTCGCTTCCTTCTTGCTTGATTTAGAAGCGTTGACTAGACGTTTGGGTGCAGATGATTTGCCGCTGTATCCGCTTAGCGTGACGAAAGGAAACTGAGCTTTTCCGATGTTCGCAGGAGTTTTATATCCAGACCCCTCCATCAGTTTGTTAATGTGTTCTTCCGCTCTTCTCTTGAGATTTGAGCCTGATTCCTTGAGGCGCGTTTTAACAGCTGCTTTCAACGTAATGTTATTCTCCACGTCATCGAGTATATTAATCCCTGCGCGTAGAGCTTCTTTTCCAATGACACGCGCACCACTGGCCAGATAAGGTAACACACGCCTGAACAGACCACCGAGAGAACTACCGATACCATGACCACGCTGATACTGCGATCCTACAAAAACTCGCGGAATTCCACCGCCGTGACTTCCCCCGGATTGCGCTTCGTAATATTCTAAACATGTGTCATATCGTGCTAATCACGACGTCTAAATGGTAATGTAACTGTCAACGTCTCAAATTCAAATGGTATTCTTTCGCCAACCTGATCTCTTATATCTATTTCGATCGTGCGGAAACATGTTAACCACAATGGAATATAATTCGGCAGTGAAAAATGCTTCACCATGTTATGGTCGTAGGCATATTTACCACCGTTGTATTCGACGGGGACTACACGGAGAAGAGGAGAATATACGTCTCCCGTTATATAGGACTTACAAATGTCGCAATAAACAAAGAGTTTATCGGGTACACCCTGCACCGTACTAGCTGGTTCGTCGGACATAAGTTCACGTTTCAACGTGATAAAAGAGTAAAACCTTCCTTCTCCAATTTTCTGGGGATTTCGCATTATGATCAGTATTGGGATGGTACGCTATACGCCCCTGTATAATTTTCGGCAAGTCGAGATGAATAAATTCCTCGTTCGGGCTATATATATCGAAGTCGAGCATACGAGCCACTTTGTCGGAAAACTTCACGAAATGAAGACTATTGCATTCTTAGTATCACATATGCAGTACAACGTTACTTTACCACCCTGATGAGGATCCTGGCGCCAGGCAATGTGCGTTTTGAGTAATGAGCTAGCGTTGTTTGAAGATGACTGTAACAGTTCGCTCACTGTGGTGTAAACACCGGAGGTTATGTGGATAAGCCCGAATTTGGGTAGATGGTCGTCACCTTTTATGATGACTGGTTTGGTGCTTTTGGTATTAATATTTTCACGAGGCAATGGAATGAATACGAGTTCTGTACCTTCCTCGGAACGCACGTGTAAAAAACTAAAGGGGAATTGAATTTCGATAAGCGCAACTTCTCATAAGTCAGTCAGCTTCACTTCTTAACCGCTTGAGTCCCAAGCAGCGCGATCGCGTTGTTCAGATTTTATGTCGAGAAAACCCAGTACATTTCGATCATTGTGGACAACTGACGGTGCGTTACCGATTGTCGAAGTCGCGCGCTCAGATTTACTGAAGCAAGTATATCACACCGATCCTTTTAATGTAAATAGTACATTTTATAATAGGTAGAATAATACTATAATAATGCAATAATACATTACAAAATAAAAATTTTTATTTCATTGTTATCTTCTCAATAATTTTTATCGAACAAAACTTGAAATATTTATAAATTTACAGTACGCATATGTAATAATACAGATGTATTTTATAAAATAACGAATTACAAATTAACAATATTTTTGTGTTATGAACAAATAATTTAAATGGAGAGTAACAATTATAATTTGTAACATTGGTGTTTATCAAAACATGTTGGATGGATTCCTTTTGCTTCGTTGCTCCGTTGCTTCGTCTAATCATTTTGAAACACACAATTATTAACAATGAGAAACACTTACGCAAGAATACGTCCGATCGCTTTGCAAACTACAATAAATGTGACAGAGCGATGAGAAAAAGACGAGAATCGCGTTACCTAACAAATACAAGAAGCGGTATTGGTCCGATTGGGATTTATCGATGTAAAATAAACAAACTATCGCGCTGCTTGGGTCTTTTCATACTCATTTATAGAAAACGCGGTTGAGCTGTTTGGGATTCTTCGACAGTGTTTTTTCAATACCCCCTGGGACTCAAACGGTTAAGGCAATTCCGTAATAAATGAAGTAGTTGTATTTTCGGGATAGTGTCACATGCTACTATTGCTCGGTAGTATCATGAGAAACTGGTTTTCCCCCATCATGGTTTGGAAGCAGCTTTATATTCGAAGCAGCTATCCAGGAATTGAATTTAGAAGGGTAACCCCGCCAGCTGACGAAAAATTCTTTATTAGCTCCTCGTCCTCGGCGTCGTATCACCTTATCTACGATAAATTCTTCTTCTTGTAAGTTTTTGTTTACCCCGGTTAGTTCTTGCTCGTAGAATATCTCATCGATCACTTCACCTGACAGATCACGCAATTTGTACATACGAGGATTTCGCCATTCGAGAATACGGTGAATACGAAATATTTCTTCCGACCAGTTCGCCTCATATCCTTTCTCAAAGACTCCTTTCGCTTTATTGACCCACACTAGTGCATCCACTTTGTATTTAGCTCCTCGACTATGATTTCTTCGATCGAGTTTATCGAGATGATGGTATCGCTGCTGCATATGTTCACGAGTGATGCGTGCGTTTTTCAACGTGACGCTTGCCGGTTCTATTTTAATGGTGGAATGTCGAGTGTGGTTGTAAGCGTGCACAATGCCTTGCAAAACATCTACAGGGTGTTTGATAGCTGATCATGCAGACGAAAGTTGGAGATAGATTGGGTGTAGCCGAGAAGAAAAGTCATATACCATAATGACAAATTGGCAATAGTTATCGAGTTATTAATTAAAACATGTGAGCCAACGAGCGCGTAGAGAGCGGAGGGCGGCTGCAGTAAGCACGAAGAAATTTGATACAGGCGGAGTCAGCGAGTGACGATAGGCGAGCGCGCGCGGCGAGGGGCTACGTAAGCGACAAGAGGCGATCGCGCACGACGAGGAGCAAGCGAGCGCAAGCGACAAGAGGCGAGCGAGCGCGAACGACGAGGAGCGAGCGAGCTATAAGGAAAAAGCTATAAAGAAAAAGCTCGCTCGTTCCTCGTCGTGCGCGATCGCTTCTTGTCGCTTACGTTGCCCTTCGCCGCGCGCGCTTGCCTACCGACACTCGCTGACTCCGCTTGTATCAAATATCTACGTGCTTACTGCGGCCGCCCTGCGCTCTCTACGCGCTCGTTGGCTCACATGTTTTAATTAATAACTCGGTAACTATTGCCAATTTGATATTATGGTACATGACTTTTCTTCTCGGCTACACCCAATCTATCTCCAACTTTCGTCTGCATGATCAGCTATCAAACACCCTGTATACGCATACATACATACATATATAACACATAAACATATATATTTTAACGTGATTATTAAACGAGAAAACAATTTTAATAATAATGTGACGCCCCAGCTGATTTCTTATACAGCGACGGGCCTGAGTGCACCGCGATCGTCACCCCGGCCGCTGAGCACGGAGCGGTGCGAGAGGGACGGTAGGCGTCACCTATTGAATTTCGCCCGAAATGTGCAGATCGCCCGAAGTGTCCAGCTCTGCTCTACAACATATCGAAAGCCCATTCAAATCGGTGAGGGACAGTTGTGTCATTCTCTTTGTAAGTATTTTTAATATATAAAGTTATAACTTATGTGATCATATTTAAAAAAAAAGCTTTGATTTCTTAATGTAAAATATAATAAAAGAAATATTCATCACTTTTCTAGTAATATATTTTGAGCACTCCACATCCTTTTATTTGGCGGCAATGTGCATTTTGTTAGTTGATATCTTAACTTCAAAATTGTCATCGTTGCGTGCGGAAACGTGCGTTTTTAAGAATAACATAATAACTAAGAAAGTGGCATGACATATAGGATGAACGGCTAGACAAATAAAATTATTAACGTTTTTCAACAAGTAAAGGATTTATTATTAAAAAATCTTTTCTATTTATCCGACACTTCATAAAAGTCAATTCCCTTGAAACGAGTCTAAGTTTTCAGGATTTCGAGAGCAACGAGGAGAGGCGACGCCAATTATTGAGTACGGCCAGAGCTGATTCTGACGAATTTACAGCAAATATTTTTCAGCTGTTCAAGAACAAGCTATTATTAGTATTATTATTATTTTTTTATTATTCAACGGACATTTTTTAAGTCAAAGTCGAATTCAGCGATCTCGAAAACTCTTTATAAAAACATATTTTCTTATCTATATGAAGTCTTGATTTTTGTTCAGCTTCTGACCGGTTTCGGCCCATTGTGCGCTGGTAGTATACAGCATAAATGGTAGTTGGCTTCAAATATCGTCCTAGTTTTTTTGTGAGCCGTATTGTGAGGCATATCTCAAGCACAAGCTTCGAGGAAAAAGAGTGTGCACTTTGAAGCAGCTGACACGACAAATTCGCCTCATTTGGAGGTCTTTACCGAACAAATACACAGTCAACTTAGTGGAAAGTATGCCTCGGCAGATGCCAGGCAATTATCAATGCCGGTGGTGACTGGACTCATCATTAATGGTATAGCGTTTTTCTTCTCATGGAGTACAACAAACCCATGTACTTAAAAATCATTAAAAATAAATTTTTCTACACATTAACCCGTACACGCTCTTACTTTACAGACTGTACGTGCATGTGGCATGGAACATGTTAAAAGACAATAATTTTAAAGAAAATTTGAGAGAGAATAATACTGGGAAAGTACAAAGGACTTGACAGGTTTTACGATAAAAAAATATAGACTAACAAGGGAGTTTTGAAAAATAAAAAATTTTGACAAATTTGAGATTTTACAGAAATGAAGTACATGTGATCTGATCATACTATCATACTGATCATACTTGTACAGAGCTACTTGTACAGAAAATATTTTCCTATCTTTTATACTTTTGATAGTACATGCTCTGAAAGAAAAGTATCGATTTTTTTAAAGGCATATTTTGTCCCTTAAAAGGTCAATTGGATATAGAAAAATTCATGTTCCTTATTTTGGTCAGATTACAATAGATTACAATATATTTCAAGCTCATCAAAATTGGAGGGAGACACTTCCTTGTGTTTCCTTATGACTCCTACCTGATTCTATTGTACTAGTGGCCTGACCAAAAGAATATTGTGCTGATAACAGATTGAAGATTAATTTTACGTTTTGAAAGAAATTATTATTGACAATTGATTCATATATGAGTATAAGGAACTTGAGAAAATATTTTTATTATATTATTAATAACAAAAACTATTATAATTATAAGCATCCAAAGTAAAGAAGTGGAGGATAAGAAAATTAAAAACAAGTGTCCATTCTAAAATGGGCAACCGCGTCCTGGTTTACCAAGGACCGGAGAATCACATTCGTGTGACTCAAAAGTTCCTACAGCGCGGGCAGAGTGGGCTCGTCAGCCTATGTTTAGCCGAACTAAAAATAAAAGTCCATGGTAGGATGATATCAAAAGACTAGGATTTATTATCCTAGAGATTTCGGAGCTACAGAAGCTGGCACGTTAGCGGATGTATCGTCCTAACTTCCCTTCTCCTGTATCGTTATCGAGTGTGAATTCTTGGTGTATATGAATTTTTGGCTATGTATCAATCGATATTTTTCACTTCGAACTCCACCTCAGAACAGTTTCGACTTTTTAAATTACATTTCAGCGGAGAATCAGAATTCACTATTTAATACCAAATATAATAACATAAATACAAAAAATTCTGTCGTGAATATCTGTTGTTACATAATATATTATGTAAAGGAGAAAGTTGGAACGAAATTAAATATTAAGTATGTAAGTATGAAGTAATAGAATAATGAAAAAAAATAAAAATCATACATAAACATGTGACGTCTGGAGTACGCCCGTGCGGGTTCTTCCCGCGAACGAGTTTCGCGATAGGTCTCCGTCGAGGCACGGCTCGCCGGAGTCCAAAGGCGGGAAGGGATCGCGCTCAATTTATTGTTTGCAGATAATCTAAAAGTCCTTTATTTAAAGAAAGCTTAATATAATATAATATTAGGTGAAGAGAATGGCTGAGGTGCAGTATGCGATTTTGACCGGTGGGTAGGTTATCTACGGTCCGCGATTGCTTTCGTGATGAAATGTCTATGGTTTTCCGCTCACGGATCGCTCGCTCGTTAATCGTTTCCTCTCGCGGAGGGCGGTCGGTCGCGCCTGTCGCCGTTGTATTCGCGGCATGCGAGAGTGATGCGAAATCGCTGGTGATCGTGAAACACCGAGACTATTTGGGTTAATATTGCGCACGTTCGACGAGAATTCAGGGAATGGAGGGATTCGTTTCCCCGGGAGGGCGAGCACACTCGCTTCCGGAAGGAATAGAGCACTCTCTATTTCATGGGTATTAGCGAGTACACTCGCTTCGAGGCGGCGAGGACACTCGTTCCAGGAGATGGCGAGCACGCTCGCTTCGGATGCTGCGAGGACACTCGCTCCAGGAAGTAGCGAGCACACTCGTCTCAGATGCGGCGAGGACACTCGCTCCAGGAAGTAGCGAGCACACTCGTTTCGGATGCCGGAGGACTCTCGGGTGGATAGATGACTCATCTCTACCAGACGAGGTGTCGGAAAAGATCGCTCTCGAGGTTCGCACGGCGCCTTATATCGGCCGCCCGTATGACTCTCGATCGTTCCCCCTCGGTGTCTCACGATACTAGAGGGGCACATGACGGCCGCATGCCGCGTGCGCCGAGGCGGTCCTTGCCTCCACGCGTGTGCCGCGTGCTCGCTCACTCTTTCGCTCTTCTCGCTCTTCTCGCTCGCTTGTTCACTCGCTCGCTTGCATCTCGTGCACGATGCATGGTCCGCGGATGGGATGCATTTTGTACGGCCCAGTGCGTAATGATCGGCGTATCGTTACAAACATATGTTAAATATAGCTATATTTTTGTTATAATATTATATATATATAATAATATATATATAATAATAAGTTATAATATTATATAATTAATGATATATTAATGATAAATTATGTTTCTTGTTCATGTTTCTATTATTTGTTTTCAAATATTATTTGAATAGTGTCATTAATAATGTCGTTATTCGTGTTAGAAAATCAAACAATCTAACACTTACACTATCAAATTTCTAAAAAGTTACAACTGGATGTCATCAAAAAGTGTATTAATGAATTTAATTAGATCCACGTTGAAATTCAAAGTTTTTGTTTATTGAGACATGTTTCAAATGAAGAATGTGTTTGAAATGTATTGTACTTATTATGTGGAACATGTAAATAAATATTTGATTGAAAACCATTAATACTCCGTGAGAACCGTGAACACATATTATATTACAACATCGCCTTTTTCACCGTATTGAAGAAAAATTTCAAGTGTAATTGATTTCCCCACATTAGTCCTTTGCGCTCCATGTTTTAATTTGTTTGCTTTTATATATTTTATAATATTAATACATATTGTAATAATATACATAATATTGTAATATTATACATTCACCAATTTAGTTAAAAATAACAACAAATTATTACTCTTAATTATATTAATAAGAAAGTTCCTAGTTAATAAGAATTTTCCACTGCGTACACGTTTTTACATTATTG